ACTCTTCTCTCTAGTTATCCTTGACCAGATGTACCCTGTAGAAACTCATAAGCATGCCTAAGCATTTAACAGTCTAACTAGACATCCTATCTCCACTAAACATTTCTAATACATAAAGTATCTATCCAATATCTATCTGACTAAAAATATCTAACAATTCCAACAAAAAACAGGCCAAACTCAAAAATGCTTTATTCACTTCAAGCTGTTGAAGGTGTACTAATGTTATGCTATAACCGTCAGTGCCTTCCTGTTCAGTGATGTGATATTGACTCTTCTTCCCTCTCGACCCTGTCTTACATGTTGGTCCAGTGCTCAGCATGGAACCACTGGAAATGCTCCCTTGTCATTTCACTGCCCAATCACACATTTTAACTCAGTCTGCCCACTGCAGTCAAATGGGACTAAGGATTAAAATGTAACTTTTATACAGAGATACATGTTCCAGGCTGCATTGTAATTATAGTGTCTAGGAAAACATTTACATTGAAAGTACCCAAGTAATGTACAGTGAGCCTTCACATGTATGTTATAGTTTCATAATCACATCCTTCCTTGCCTCATTTATTACCTTTTGAATGTGGCATATCAGCTGTTTATTTAGATACGACAGTCCAGTTTGTCAAATGGTGTCCATGGAAGACCTAATGATGTATTACCTGGGATAGACCATTGGCATAACATTTAAAATTGGTACCGTTTCCCTTTTGGAAATGAAACTTGTATGTGAACATACACTGGACAACATGTAAGACAAAAAGCATAGGAATGTGCCAGGAAATGCTTCATTAAGTTGCCAGAAAACCCTTTTATAGCACAAAATACCAAGAAATTAAATGGGAATCCTTTTTTGTTTCATGAGGTCCACATGCTCCTGTGTTAATTGATTTCTCTTGGTAACAAATCCTGCACATGGTGGTCTAACACCTTGTGTTCTCCTATACAGTACTTTCATTATATAATGTGGACAGTGGCCTTATCATCAAAGAGGAAGCAGTGTGGGTACTGAACACTTGAGGCTTTATGAGTTTACCAGTATAAAATCAAAAACTTAATCCTAAAAAAGATGTGTAACAAATCACAAACTGACCTTGTGTTAGTGTTGGTCAGGAAACAACCATCACTGCTTTCTCCCCATGATACAGAGTCATTTTATTTAATTTACTTGTGGGCTTGACACACATGATCAGATTTTCTGTGTATGATAACAGTCAATGTGCTTTGCACACCAGGTGTCAATTTTGCACAGTTACTTTTAAACTGCCTCCAACACATTCATTCTGCACCCTCCCCCCCTTGCTGCTTGTCTTGTATTTCTCACCGTTCTTTCAGAAAATTCCCTATATGCAGCTATTTATGGCACAGCCTGAATGCTCTGCATGGGGTATCTTCCCATTTCCATTCATCCACCTCTCCTCATCCCAACTCATTACCTTCTTCCCAAACAGTCATACACACACACACACACACACACACACCATCACTATTATCTTTGTCCAAAACCCTTCATCGTCTCTCCTGTCTCCCTCCCTCTCTGTCTGTGTTGGGCTGGCATGTGATGGTGGCACTGGTGTGTTTTCTTCCTCTCCCCCTTGTTTACTAACAGACGCAGACCAGACTGGAGCATGCCCACATTAAGGAGCTTGAACAGAGCCTGCTCTTTGAAAAGACCAAAGCTGAGAAACTCCAAAGAGAGTTAGAAGACACTAGGGTAATGAATTGTGCTCTGCAGTGTGCTGCATTAGAAAAGAGGGCCTGGGCTGGGGATAGTAGCTAAAAAATTTGAAGGGGTACAGAGAGGTGCTGAACAATAACTGGAGCTTTGCTTTGTATGGCCTTGTGGTGACTGAACCCCACAAATGCATTTTCCAGTGAAAATGTCTACTCCTGGTTTGACAGCAAAGTAAATCAATACATATGTTTATTGAAACCTCAATTTGAAAACAGTCCATCCTGTGTAGAGTTGGATTTACAAATTCTGCATCATTATTTAAATCAAATGTTTTTTTTACATTGAGAAGTATACATTTCTGTTATAACTGTCAAAAAATAACCACAATCATCTTTCAGCTGTCTTGAGTGACAGCTCTTTTACTTGTACTATATTCCAGTGCGTTTCCCAATCTGAACTCACTCTTGTTTTACTGGTATCACTGCTTAACCAGACAGACAAGCTCTCCCTTGTCCCAGCTAATCATTTTCTCGGTTATCCTGTGTTCCACTTTCCCAGTCTTTCCGAGCATCCATTTGTCCTGCTTATTTGGTGTCCCTGCGTTTTGCTAGTCCAAAACCTGCTCCACCTCCCAGACTATGCATCCCAGTGTTGCCCTGGAGTATTATAGTTAGAGGATCATTAAAAATATGTGTTATGAGGCTGAGGGCCATCGATTCTGCAGGTTCTTCTGACATTTTTTTTTTTTTATCAAGAAACAAAATTAACAAACAAAATTAAAAATGTTAGGTAATCATTCTCCTAAATCAGTCAGTAATTACATTCATTTGATGATTAAGATTTTTAGTTAAATGGATGGTGGAAGGTGTCTTGCACATTAGTGGAGCTCCATATATGCTTTCAGTGTTCACTTCCTTTATTTGGACCATACTCTATTTGTAGCCACAAGAGGTCAGTATAACACTGTTTTGGGGATCAAAGTTTATATACCCTACGCAGTCAAGAGCAAATTGAATAGGTTCAGTCTTAGAAAACAGTTTTACTATTGCCAGGTTCTTTCTTATGGATGATTTTACCAGTTTTTCAGTTGCTCATTAACAGTTAAATATAATGTCTTTTGTTAGTCCACAGTGGTTCAGTATGTCCAAAAGGTACTTTTTTTTTTTTTTTGGTTTGTTTGTTTTAAATGCAAGATTTTTGCTTTTAAAGGTTGCTACTGTGTCAGAAAGATCCCGTATTATGGAGCTTGAGAGGGACCTTTCGCTGCGAATAAGAGAAGTAGCTGACCTGAAACTGCAGCTTGGGACCCAGCAGGGCCCTGAGAACTCAAACTCCACTCTTTCTCCCCTTCTGGAAGAAATAAACTCTCTGAGGGAACAGTTGGCTTCTCAAGAAGCTAAGCAGCAAGAAGAGCTGGCAAAATACAAGGAGACACTAGAGGCTCAAGAGAAGACCCATAGCGAAGCGGTTGCCCAGCTTCAGGCGGCATCTGTAAAGCTGTCTGGTGACAAGGAGCAGTTGCAGATGCGTTTAAGCCAGGCTGAGAAGGAGAATGCTGAGATTATTCAACAGTGGCGTTCCAAGATGGAATCTGCTATTGCCTCTCATCAGCAAACCATGGAGGAGCTGAAGGTGTCTTTCAGCAAAGGCACAGATGAACAGACAGAAGAGCTTGTAGAAACAAAAAGTGCACTAGAGAAGATGAAGTTAGAACACAGTTTGGCTCTAGAGGAAGCTGGAACTAAACATGAGGCTGCCGCCACAGCTTGGGCTCAGGAGATGCAGACACTAAAGGCACAGCTGTTGTCTTTGACTGAGGACAAACAGCGACTGGAGGAGTCACTGCAGTCCAGTGGAGAAAAAGCAGAGGAGCAGCACCTTGTGGAGATGGAAGATGTTCTAGGGAAGCTTCATGCTGCCGAACTTAGGGTAAAGGAGCTTGAGGAGAAAGAAGCAATACTGGCACAACAGGCCCAAGACAAGGACAGGGAAACCAAAGAGCAGATGGCAGAAGTGGTGGCCCTGCGCAGTCAAATTGCACAAAGTACCCAGGAGATTGTGACCCTGAAGAGTCAGTTAGAGGAGACTCAGAGCCAAGGAAACGACCACAGTGCCAAGGTGGGTTGTCATTTTTTGTTTAAATGTTCATATTTCTTTCCTGTTTGCTTTTACTTTGTTGTCTATTGTATTGCTTTACTTGATGTGTTATAGGTTAGTGAACTGACCTCTCAGTTGGAGAGCCAACAGAAGGAAGTCCTCTCATTACAGGAGAGTCTAACTACTGTAAAGCAGGAGAAGGACACCCTGGAGCAGGAGCTTGGAGGCCTGGTGAGGCTTATGGTGTAATTTTGGAAGTCGTTACAATACTGTACCTCTGTTTCTTTAGCATTTCACTGTTCTGTATCACTGAAGTCACTGTTCAGTGCTTTCTGATGAACAAACGTCACTTTTATTTATTTATCAGCTGATAAGTATGAATGAGCTAATATCAGCTAGTATCTATCTACTTGTCCAGTGTATCGTTTGGTTCATTACTAAACATACTGCATTTCAAATAGAGTACAAACTAGGAAAATTACACTTCTGAAATTTTGATTTGTAATTTTGTCTGTTTAAGAAATATACGCAAAAGTATTTTCTCCACAGAAACAAAAGTTGGCCACAAGCACAGAGGAGCAGACTAAATCAGCAAAAACTATGCAAGGTAAATGATATTAGCAATTGTTCTTTGTTCAGATAGTAAAATGCTTTTCCTCCCAACTTTTATCATCACTGGCTACAATTTGGCCATTTTCTACTTTCTACAGCTTCTAAGATCTAAAATGTAGTTTGTGTTTTTACAGAAACACTCGAGAAGCTCAGTAAGAAGGAAGACCAGTTTGTATCTTTGACCACAGAGTCAGAGTCTCTAAGAAGTCAGCTTAGTGGTGAGAACATTAAAACTATATTATTTGATGTTAAATTATTTGAAAGAACCTTTAATCATTGCTGTGGTGTGTGTGTATATATATAGCTTTCCCCCTTTCTCTTTAAGTAATGACCTTTAATCCTTTTGAACAAACTTGCCTTCAATCAGGGCTGGAGAGGAAGCTGAAGGCTGCAGATGAAAAACTTGAGCAGCTTTTGAAGGACAAAAGCAAGCTGGAAAATGATATTTCAGACATGATGAAGGCATCTGGTGATAGTTCAGTACAACTGACCAAAATGAATGAAGACCTCATACAGAAAGAAAGGTACAACACTTTTATTGTTATTTGCTCCTGCTGTGTATGACTTTGTTACTCTGCTTAAAACAGATTATACCAATACTATCAGATCTGGATACTTCTTATCCTATGACATGTTATAATCAATATGTATATCTCTTGTTTTTCTCCACATGCTGTAGTGAATTTATTTTTCAATTTTCTAAGCTTTCAATGAACATGGTCCTTAGACACCTTCTTTTTTTGTCACACAGGAGGCTTGAGGAGTTACAGAGTCGGCTTGCAGAAGAGAAGGAGAAGGTGGCACACTTGAATGAACAGCTCCAGCAGGAACAGTCACACAAAAAGCAGGAGCTAAAAGAAACCAAGGAAACACATCAATCTCAAATAAGTAGCCTCCAGGAAAAGATTGCCTTCTTGGTTAGTGTTGAAAGGCAGTCAAGAAATTGGTTTTTAGAGATTGCAATTGTGGTTTAAAATACTTAAAATTATTTTAAACTTTGTATTTAAAATACAATCTCTCATTTGTTTCATTCAAGTGTCCGCGCACTGGTAGGCAAATGTTGTAATGTGATTAGTTGTTGTCTTTCTCATTTCCTGTTTTTATAGGAGAAGACTGTTAAACAGGGTGAGACACTGGCTGAGGAGCTGAAGGCCTCTCAAGAGAAATCTTCACAAGCCTCGGAGCTCCATGTGAAGGAACTTGAGGTGCTAAAGAGTCAGGTTAACAAGTTGAAGCAGGAGCTCTGCTCCTCCAAGAACCAAACTCAGGAGCTAGAGAAGCTGGTGTCTGAGCTGCAGCCGTACAAGGAACAGGCTCAGGTAAGCACAAATTCACACAGATATAATCAAATTATTTGAATCGATATATTTATTTCTTTATGTAAAAAGGTTATTTATTTATTATGGGTTTTACTATTACTGATTTTACACTGGTGTTCATCACTAAAAATCATCAGAAAAATGACAGCTATCCTTTTTGTAGATGAAGATTTGATATCCTAAAATTTAAACAATTCTTGCTCAAAGAAGTTAAACACTATATATACATTACACCAGTTTAAACAGTAAAACAAAAAATTGAAACCAAGCTTTACAAGAACGTTATGGTAGACTGTGCAACCTTGTAACAGTTTGTCTTCATTTATCATTAATGTATGTTATCAACTACATTTTCTCTCACCATACAGATTATTTGTGATAGGTTTTTTTATTTTTATTTCCCCAAACATTAAAGCTAATAACATCTTCTTTCATGTTCATCTTGGCTCCGTATTGGATGTTGCCATGGGTTACATGCTTGCAGGGGTACACGTTATAAAATTGTGTATTTAGCATATTTTAAGATTATTAATTGCTATTGTAAAAAAAAAAAAAGCCTTATTGCTTTACATATATGTACCCTTGCTAGCATTGCTTAATAGCCTGATACTTTTAAGTAGAACATTTTCACTTTCTGACAAAAAGTTAGGTTTATGTGTATTTCTACATCGCATTCAGTAACATTGGCTTATACAGTTTGTTCCCCTTTTTATTTTATTAATTTAGTGAAAATTCAAATACAGAATGACAAAACGCATAAAAATACCTGTGTAGACCGCCATAGTACTTCAAATAAGTGCTGGAAGTGATATAGTAGTTATACACTCCAGCAGTCACTGTTCATATCCCTGTTAAATTTGTTGGTATCAATGTAATCGTGTCAAAGTAAGAACTGAAGTGAAAATGTTCCACTTTATATTTTTGAAAATCATTGTGGAGTAAGCTGTGGTGTGATCTTTTGCCATTTTGATGCTTCTGCAGCTTAACCTTTATAGTTGCATATCACTTATGTGCATATCTGCTTGGTTTATTTTTGGATTCATCTTACTTTTCCCTGTGTGTGTATATATATTCCCCTCCTTTTTTCCCTTTCATCTTTATTTTCCCAGCGTCTTTCTGCTGAGCTTGATTCCTACAAGCATGATGTTGAACAGTTGTCCAAAAAGCTGGAAAAGCAGAGTCTAGATCTGGAAACTATTTATAAGGAAAGTGAGGATGTTCAGGCTGAGAAAGGCAAACTGCAGGCTCAACTTTCAGGTTTGCAGACTAAGGTCTGTGCCCTTGAAATCAGTCACCAGGAGCTTTCAGCCGAGAATGAAGAATTGCTAATAACCAGAGATAAGCTTTCAAAACATCAAGAGGAACTTCTCGCCAACAACAAGTGCTCAGATGAAGAGAGGGTTTCATTGATCAAGGAGCTGGAGAGGCACAAAGATCTTCTTCAGGAATTACAGAATGAAAACAAGAACCTGAACAATGCTAAAGGTGAATGCGAGGCTCAGATTGAGGAGCTTCAGAGTCAAAATGCACAGAAGAATGACTTGCTCCTAAAGCATCAACAGGACATCCAGCAAATTGAGGCTAAAAAGAAGCATCTACTTGAGGATTATGAAAGTGTTTGCCAAGAGAGGAACCGACTTGAGGCAGACCTCAACCAAAGCAAGTTGAAGCTCACATGTGAGAAGGATGATCTAATTTTAGAGAGGGATACTGCTAGAAATGCAAAAAAATCTCTTGACACTAAGATTGTCAAGTTGCAGGCAAAACTTAATTCCTTGAACTTGGAAAAGGAAGATCTTACAATGAAGAATGCCCAGCTGCAGGCCCTCACAGAAACACTTACAAAAGAGAAGTTGCAGATGTCTTCTGAACTCAGTTCTGCTGTGTTGGACAAAAAGAGCCTTGAGACGGTAAAGGAGGAGCTCCAGAATAAGCTCAGTGTTGCAAAGAAAGGCTTGGAGAGCTCTGTCTGTGAATGTGAAGAACTTAAAGCCTCAAAAATTAGCCTGGTCCAGATGCTGGAAGACTTTAAGACAAGTAATCAGGTAACAGATTCTGAGAGACTTCATCTTCTGCAGGAGAAAGAAGACTTGCTTGCAATAGAAAGGAAAGCCTGTAATGAGAAGGAAGCGCTCCTCAAAGAGATAGAAGAGTTAAAGGAGAAGCTTCAACTCTCAACAGAACAACTGTCTGAGTCCAACAAGAAATTTAAAGAAGTGTTATCATCTTTTGACCAAGAGAAGCAAGTGCTTCACCTTCAGAATTCTGAAACAGTGATGACTCTCCATGCTGTTCGTAGAGAAAAGATGAACCTGGATTCAGCACTGCAGCAGCAGAAATTGGATTATGAGCATTTGGCAGAGGAGAAGAGTGAGTTAGAAGAGAAGTACACAAAAGCCATATCTGAGAAAAATGCTCTTTCTGTTAAGCAAGATAAAGTAGCAAGTGATATCCGAACAATTAAGGATCAGCTGGGTAGTTACTCCAGAGCTAATGCTGACCTTATTCAAGAGAAGTCTCATTTAACAACAATGATAGAGGAAACCAAACTTGAAAAAGAAAAGGTTGAAGCAGAAGTGACCTCTTTGAAACAAGAAAAGGCTGAGCTACAAAGTGAACTACAGAACCATAACTCTGATATTGAAATTCTTGTAAAGCACAAGACTGAACTTGTTCAAGAGAATTGTAAACTAAAATTGGATTTTGAGAAGACTCATTTAGAACTTGCAGAACAAGTGGAAAATCTTACAAAAGACTGTCAGCATCTGCAGTCATTGCAGTCTGAGGCTGACACAAAAGTTCAGTCCTTGCAGAAAGAGAACCAGGGGCTGTTGCAGGAGATCCAGGAGATAAAAAATCAGACTGACTTATTGTCAGAGGCCAAACATCTGGTTGAGATCCAACTACAGGCTGAGTCCAGTGAAAGGAATAAAGTAATATTTGACAAGGATGAGCTTTCCAAACAAATTCAAGAGCTACAGAAAGCATTGTCCAAAGTTGCACAAGAAAATGAAGAGATTTCTTCTAACCTTAAGAACGCTGATGATCAAAAGAAGTCTTTGATGGTGGACGTGGAGGCTTTGAAATCACAACTGAAGCAGCAAGAGCAACAGGCCACTCGGTTGATAGAAGATAAAGAACATCTTTTGTCTAAGCTTAAGGAGATGGATAAACAGATGACCTTCCTGACCACAGAGAAAGAGGACCTTTTAGCTGGACAGTGTAAATTAGAGCAGGACATTTATTCTTTCCACACAAGCCAGGAAAACTGGCTTGCGGAACAGTCAAAGCTCCTTGAAGTGTTAAAGACGTTGCAGGCTAGCCAGAAACAACTAGAGGTTGATGTCGGAGCTCTACAGACTGATAAAGACCTTTTGGAGAAGCAATACAAGAAGGCTGTTGCGGATGTATCAGCTTCTGTCGTTGTAAATAAAGAGATGTCCTCCAACATCTCAACTCTTACAGCTCAGAAGGATGCCCTGCAGGTGGAGAGAGATGAAACCATCCAGCAAGTCAGGCAGCTCGAGTCCCAACTAAACAATGCTATTTCTAAGCAGCTTGAGGTATTCCTCCTCCAGTAGTAATTACTGTAATCACACACCTTATGGTGGCTGGGGCTGTGTCACCGTTGTCACTGCATGCTTGCTGGTTTGTCTCCTTTTCCACTTTCCTTTTATTTTCGTGTCTAACTTTCATCTTCTACTTACTAACTGCTGTTTATTACCCTGAACTCCCAGCCTTTTCCTGTGGGCTTATAACGTGATCTAACATTAGGTGATAATGTAAATCTAAGGTGAACTTGATCACACACACAATCAGATGGTGTGAGTGTGTGTGTGATTTTTTTATTTTATTTTTTATTTTTAGATTGTATATTTTAATATTGTTATTAAAAAAAAAAGGTAGATGCAAGGATTTCTCAACATACCGCTGTGAAATTAGGTTTCATCACACATGCCAATGACTAATGGATTTACCATCATTTAGGATTTGAGAAAGTCCTACACAAACTACCTTTTAAAGAATTACCACTTTCCTTATTGGACTCACAAGTCAATGGGTTGTCAGTATCCGTTCTGAGGCCACAGGTTGTGTAGTATTTTAGAATGTCTACTAATTGTTTTCTTCTAATCAGCCACAACATTAAAACCACCTGACTAATACCGTGTAGGGTCCCCTTCATGCCATAACAGCTCAGACTTCTCAAAGCCTCAACACCACAAGATAGTGTCCTCTGCTATCTGACACAATACAGTAGCAGCAGATCCACAAAGTTCCTTAATTTGTGAGGTGGGGGCGTCCGTGGGTCGTGCTTGTTTTTTTCCAGCATGTCCCACAGTTGTTCTGTTGGATTAAGATTTGGGGAATTTGGAGGCCAAGGCAACACCTTGAACTCTTTGTTGTGTTCCTCAAACCATTCTTAAACAGCTTTTGCAGTGTGAAAGGGCACA